TTTAAAATTTTCAAGTTCTGATTAAGCATGAAAAAGAGTTCTAAATATGTTAATAGTTCAGCTTCCATGTTGTATCTGTTACATTCTTTGCTTCATTCACTAATTCATCAAACATTTGTTGAGCACTACTATGTCAAGTATCTCTCATTGTTCATGTTTTATTTTCTAAAAGCCACTTTTGCCATGTTTATTTTTTACACACTTTGAGGTATGTTCCCAGAGTGATTGTAGTAGTGGTTTTCAGTGCTTTGTGTTCTGGTTACCTAGTGCTGCACTGACAAGAATATACCACAAATATGATGGCTTGAACAAATAAGAGTTTATTCCCTTATAGTTTGGGAGGCTAGAAGTCCAAGTTCAAAGTGCCAGGGTCTAGGGGCTAGGTGAAAGGTCCTTGACCTTGGGCTTCAGCTCTGCCTCTTGCTTCCCGCCCACTGAAGCTAGAGGCATCTCTTCACTCAGACGGCTGCTGGCTGCTGAGGCTAACAACCCCAAGGTCAACAAATAAAATGGCATAGTCCTGATGTTGCCAAACCATATAGCAGGCCATTAATTCAAGTCCATTGTAAGTCCCAAGGTCGGCAGAGCATGGCAGGCTGCTGAACAAAGACACAGAATCAGAATTTGCATTTTAACAAGATTGTTAGATGAATCAAAGCACATTAAAGTGTAACAAGCACACGTATAGCACATGGATTATTACTATCTGTTGTCTTTTTTTTTAAACAACCAAAGGCTACATGCAGGGTTCAAGCATGCCTTAAGCTAGAGAGAATTCCCCAAGGCTTCTCCTTATATATAGGAAACAGACCACATCCCTAAGGCAGTAGATTCCACCATGGAGTTAATTACCAGTCTCATCATGGGGCATACTACATCCATCTGCCCAGCCACTCAACCAGGCCCAGCCAAGTTTACGCACAAACTTAACTACCACAGGTATACTGTATTTTTCCATAAATCATGCATCCATGTAAATAACATGCCGCTTTTGCCATGTTTGTTTTTTACACATTTTGAAATATGTTCCCAAAGTGATTGTAATAGTGTTTTTCAATGCCTTGCACCTTAAAGTGTGATCAGTGGGCCAGCAGCATTGGCAACTTCTGGGCGTTTGTTAGAAATTCAGACTCTCAGGCCCCATTTCAGTCCTGTTGAATCAGAATTTGCATTTTAACAAGATTGTTAGATGAATCAAAGCACATTAAAGTGTAACAAGCACACATATAGCACATGGATTATTACTATCTGTTGTCTTTTTTTTTAAACAACCAAAGGCTAGTCATACTCAATCAACTCCTTTCTTAGAGACAAGATACCCCTTCATGTAAAAGCAATTTTAGGAATATCCTTAGAAGATATTCTCTATTTTTAAAACTATAAGGAAAAAATTGTACAAGAATAGATATCCTTTACTTTCTGAAAGATACAAGTAAAAAACTATTGGAAGTAGAGTTTAAGTGATTTTCATATCGGCTAAAACTTTCACAAGAGGTTTATAATTTCTTGTAGCTCTTTATGACAGATCTTGGTTAAAAGTCTGTTGTGTAGAAAAATTTCAGTATAGAAATGATTTCTTTTTCAGTTAGATCAATGATGAGACCATATCTGGAATCCATGGAAAATAGTACTAAATACTCTGCCTGTCCTTTGTTTATTTTTACAAAGTACGGTGTAGTATATTACATAGTGTGGCTTTTCTAGCCATATGTCTTTGTAAACTCCATGGTGGAATTTGCCATGAACAATTGAGTAGCTCCTGACTGTGAAAGTTAGCCACCTGGGGTATTTCTGTTGGGTGTAGCACAAAGTAATTTTCTGGGAAGTTCTCTCTCTCTCAGGTGTATAGAATTCTGATGTTGGGATTGGTTAGTTTGGCCACTCTGCCAGGCTCAAAAAGAGCCCTCCTAGAGGCAGGAGTCGTCTCTCTGACTGCTGGCTGAAAAGGATGTATTGCTGAGAGAAACGCACTCCTGAGAGACACACGCTACTGAGAGAGACTGAGAGAGACTGTTGGCTGAGAGATGGTGGGCTGCAAGAGACGAGTGCATTTCTGAACTTGAGTTGTAGCCTGTTACTTCCCTAATAAACCCTATAATCTTGAGTTCTGGGTGGCCACTGCAGCGAGTTATCAAACCCAGCAGAGAGGTGGTGGGTGCTGTGGGAGGAATGGTTGGTATCAGGGCTCGAGGTAGGCAGCATGTCTGGCCTCGTCGGGATAGCCTTTGGGCTACTGATAGTGATTCTGTCTTCCTTTTGTGAGGTTAGAGGAGGTCAGAAGATGCGGCCTCCCTGCCTCTTTGGCACAAAGGAAAAGTGAAGTAAAATGATGGCTTTCAAATCATGATTTTTTAGAATAACTAGTAGTTTGGATTCAGATTTTTTTTCTGGGTCAAGGTTGATTACTTTTGGAATTAAAGAAAAAGAATTGTAGAAATTATTCCTAATATAAAGAGGAATTGAAGACAATTTTATTTCCTTTATTTAAGTGTACAAACAAAAAAAATTCACTGCCATCGAGTTGATTTCAACTCATAGCAACCCGCATTAGGTTTCCAGGGCTATAAATCTTTACAGAAGCAGACTGCCTCATCTTTCTTCTGGGGAGCAGCTGGTGGGCTCTAACCACCGACATTTTGGGTAGTGGCCAAATGCCTTACACTACCAAATGCACTACACCACCAAATATAAGTGTGCCTTACTTAGGGGTAACATATTAAAAAATGTATATGGGTTAATAAATGTCTTGTGCAGAGTTTGTAAAGACTATATTACAACTTTTATTGGTGCAGAGTAATTTTAATGACTTAGTAAATGAGGCTAAGTCTTCAAAAAATATTTTTAATGTTTAAAACAAAATAATTTGAGCAGATTGGCAGCAAGAACCCATGTAAAGGCTTGTCTTTTTATTCGTGTACCTGTATTTATTTCAGTACCAAATACTATCAGTGTTACCGTGGGCAGGTTGCTTTCTATTTCCTATAAGATTGGGTGATTTTTCTTCCTTGCAGGATTGTTGAAAGGCTTATTTGAGATAATACAGGTGATGCTCTTGACACAGGGCCTGGCACAGAAACAGTACACAATATATGTTAGCTTTCCTTCTTTTTACTTCTTTGCTCCATTTATATGTAGTTTTCTAGTTTTAGCTCCTATTTTAAGTAAGATTTCACTTGGATTTTTCATTCATTATACTGATTAAAGTTGAATCAAGAATGTAAACTCCATGATGACATAAACTTTGTTTTGTTTTGTTTACTGATGTATCCTTAGCACTTAGACAAAATCTGTACTAAGTCTTAGTAAGTATTTTTGTTGAATGAATGAATGAATGATTGAATGAATATCATGCATTTGAAGTAAATTTACTTGAAATTATTTAGAAAACATTTTTGCAGTTTATATTTGTTGGCAGTGTTCAGTTAAAATTAATTTATTCAGCAAAATTTTAATGACTGTTATGTGCCAAGTACTATTCTAAGCATTGGGTATAAAAAAGATAGATAAGGTCCCTGTCCTGACAGAACTTAACCTTTTAGCTGGAGGAGTCAGGTGGGCAAAGGGGAAGAAGGACAATAAATCAATAAACAAACAAGGTAATTACAGATAATAATAAATGCAGGAGTGTTGTGAGGGGATCCAGGGAAGCGGGACCACTACTTTAGATAGTGTATAGGTAGGCCTTTCTAAGGAGGTGACCTCTGAGCTGAGGAGCAGGGAGTGCTTTTAGGTGTAGTAGTGAATTGAAGTTTAAGTTCATCAACAATCAACCTCATTGCCTGGTGTCTCAGAAGTCCCCTTATAAACTAAATGTGCCAGTGCTCTTTAATTAGTATTGTAAGGCTTGACTAATCATCCTGGGATTTTGAGATCAAGAGGCTAGAAAGGAACAAGATTGAAATATGTTAGGTTCATAGCCTTTCCTTCTCTCCTGCAAGTGAATCAGTGTTTGCCTTCTAAATTTTCTTCTCTGGGATGTATTTAAATAGTTTTACTTCCTAGTCTGAAAAATGCTGAGCTTTCAAAGTCTTATTTTTCAGAAGGAAAAAAAAGGTCTTAAATAAGTTAAAATTGTATACTTCTGAAAGAAGCTATAGTTTCACATTAAGAACATGAAAACCTAAAGAATGTTTTTGTGATTATTTTAATTTTATGCTTGCCTTTGTTGTCCAATCTGATAACAAATAATCAGAACCCTGCATCTTCTGTTCCTAATAGAGAAGTCTATGCATTCTAAGAAATGTAAAGAAAGAGAACAAAATAAAGAGTCAGGGAACTGTTTAATCTCCTCATCTCTTGTGGTACAGAGAATAATTGCTATAAGTCTTGTACCTTCATATTGATACCCTCAAAGGACAGTATACAAATGAGATTTTTTTTTTAAGAAGGATAAAACTGTATTTTCTATATACAGTTCAGAGCATTGAATTTTAAATATGATACTCTTCACTAAGGTGGCCTCAGTGGGTACTATTTTAAAGTAATCTCTCTGTGCATATCTTCAGTGAGTCAAGACATTAGTAATTTATTCAGGACGTGTAGCTAAGATATTTTTGTACTTTAATGAAAATTCTCATGTTTAAGCGACTAGGGTACTGTTTGCTGGTGATTAAATACCTAACTATATTAATTTTGGCATTCTTGATGTGAGTGAGGGTTTGACCTAAGTAGTGTGTTCTGCTAATAAGAGCCTCTCTTTTACATCTTCTTTTAATAGTAACATCATGACAACAGAGAAGAGCTTAGTGGCTGAGGCCAAAAATTCACAGTGCCAACAACAGAAGGAAGAGGGTGAGGGAGCCATAAACTCAGGCCAAGAAGAAACTCAGCTGGAGGAGGCTTCTCAAACAGCAGCTGAAGGAGAAAATCAGTGTGAGCAGAAGCTGAAAAAATCTAATGGAGACACTCCTACACATGAAGACTTGACCAAGAACAAGGACCGGACATCAGAAAGCAGAGGCCTCTCACGACTGTTCTCCTCATTGCTCAAAAGACCCAAATCTCAGGTGTCTGAGGAAGAAGGCAAAGAAATAGAGTCAACTAAAGAGAAAAGTGAAGAAGCTCAGAAAGAGATAGAATTTGGAACTAATCTTGATGACGAGATCATTTTAAAGGCCCCAATTGCAGCTCCTGAACCTGAACTCAAAACAGACCCATCTTTGGATCTTCATTCATTAAGCAGTGCAGAAACACAGGTAAGGTTATATGAATGTGTGAGAGGTGTATATGATGAAGGTTGGTTATATGCTTTATTTTTCATAAAATTATTTGGTTTAAAACACTGTATAACATGGATGAACTTGGAGGACATTATGCTGAGTGAAATAAGTCAATCACAGAAGGACAAATATAGTATTAGTTAATTATTGTAAAAAGTCAAGGAAAAGTTTCTATATGGAAGGAAACTTTCTTTGTTGGTTACCAGGAGTGGGAGGGAAGGGGGGGGAACACTGGAAAAAAAAAAAAATTGACCTATGTCACTTTAGTTTTGTATATTTCACTGTACATAAATTATATTTCAATAAAATTTTTTAAATGATTTTAAAATTTCCTTTAGTCACTTGACTTAGGCATTTAGAAATTATGGAATAAAATGAAGTTTTGAGTGTCTGCTTTAAAGAAATTAATGTAGTCAGTGGAAACTTAATTTTTAAAAAGGATGCTTCTTCTTGTTGTTAGGTGCTGTCGAGTCAATTCCAACTCATAGTAACCTTGTGTACAACAGAACGAAACATTGCCAGGTCCTTACAATCATTGCTGTACTTGAACCCATTATTGCAGCCACTGTGACAATCCACCTCATTGAGTGTCTTTCTCTTTTTTTCTGACCCTGTGCTTTACCAAGCATAATGTCCTTCTTCAGGGACTGGCCCCTCCTAATAACATGTCCAAAGTATATGAGATGAAGTCTTGGACATCTTCACTTCTAAGGAACATTCTGGCTGTACTTCTTCTAAAACACATTTGTTTCTTCTAGCAGTCCATGATATATTCACTATTTTTCACCACCATGATAATTCAAAGGCATCAATTCTTTCCAGTCTTCCTTACTCATTGTCCAGTTTTCACATGCATGTGAGGTGATTGAAAATACTGTGGCTTGGGTCAGGCATACCTTAGTCCTGAAAATGACATCTTTGTTTTACACTTTAAAGAAGTCTTTTGCAGCAGGTTTTTCCGATGCAATACATCATTTGATTTCTTGACTGCAGCTTCTGTGAGCATTAAATGTGCATCCAAGTAAAATGAAATCCTTGACAACGTCAATATTTTCTGTGCTTATTATGATGTTGCTTATTGGTCCAGTTGTGAGGATTTTTGCGTTTTTGTTTTCTTTATGTTGAGCTATATAATCCATACCCCATACCAAAAAAAAGAAAAAGATACTTATACTTTATAAATAAAATAAAAAGAAGTATAAAATTATTTTATTCATCCCATATATCATTGTGTTTTAATCATGGTATAAGTCTAAGCTTTTAATGAGAAGGGAAAAAGAAGTGAGGTGATTTAGAGTTCATTTAGGTAGAATTATTAAAAATGAGATAGTTTATTAGCAAATGTAGTCCTTTATGGAGATCTTGAAAACTGTGTGATGGATTCATGCCATCAAGGGGTATATGATAGATTTAAGTCATGCCTGACTTATTTTTGTCTTCTATTTCAACTATATCATATTAGCACAGAGAATAAGATGTAGATAAGGCAGTTCAGGTTTTTCTATCACCTTTGTAATATATAGCAATTTGGGGCCTTAATTGTGTCATAGGATAGTTAAACTAAGCATGAGTTACAAATTTGTTCAAAACATGTGGTAAAATATTAATACTGTAATGCAAAATGTTTTATAGGAATTCCATTTTTCAGCTGTAACATCTACAAATTAAAAGTTATTTTCAAAGTATTTCCATTTCTTATAATGAAAACATTATCTTTGTTGTTAAAAACATAAATCTTGTATGTTTCTATGAGAAGTACAAGATTTGGGTTATATAGTGTTACTAGAATTTTCTAGAAATACATGTAATTTTAGAAATACTGTATATTAAAAGTATGTACTTGGTGTTAGTGAAACTGTTCAAAACAAGATTTACTGTAGTAGTTCAGAATATAACACAGGCTATGGAATCATGCTTTCAGAGTTCAAATTATGGAGACATGGCATTTTTTCATTATTGTATTCTCCCTGTGTAATACCTACCCATTTGGGTGTCTTAAAAGAGATAGTTGTATAAAGCTCTTAACAATTATTACTTAGTCAATAAACATGAACAGTTTCACAGTAAAGGTAAAGAAACCCTCCGTATGTTAATATCATTACTTTGATTTTATTTTAGGAATACCAAATTACCTTATGTCTTACTCCCTACCCTGGCATTATGTAGGGGAAAAACCCATGTCTTATTTCAGTTAACATTTGAATTAGATTCAAAATAATGCCTAAAGATAATAGCATTTTTACTGAAGTTAAAACATGATCTGGACAAACTCAATTTTAGATTTAACTAAAATCTCATTCACTGAGACTTCCTTAATTCAAAATTAAGATAATTATATGAAGGTATTTGTCTCCATATTAAGAAAAAGGAACAAAATAAATTAGTACTGTTAATAAAATTTCAAGAAGGTATGGTTTAAAGTAGTAAACTATCTTAGATCTTTTAAAAACTAAAAGTAGTAGAATTTAATTTATATAGTCCTTTCCTATCTAGATCTCTGGTTTACAGAGGTTTTTTTCTAAATTTTATTTATTTTGTTGTTGTTATTATACACAGCAAAACATACACCAGTTCAACAGTTTCTACACGTACAATTTGGTGACATTGATTACATTCTTCCAGTTGTACAGCCATTCTTACCCTCCTTTTCTGAATTGTTCCTCCCTCATTAGCATAAGCTCCCTGCCCCCTAAGGCTCCCACCTAATCTTTCCAGTAGCTGTTGTCATTTTGATCCCATACAGAAAGTTCTTAAAGGAGCATAATGGTCAAGACAGACCTTTTTCAGTAGTTAAGCTAAACTATTGTTTGGTTTTAAGATGACGTCATGGAGTATTTTTGGTTTAAAGGTGATCTCAGGGTGATAGTTTCAGGGGTTCATCCATCCTCTATGGCTCCAGAAAGACTAGACTCCATGAGAATATAAAATTCTGTTCTACATTGCCTCCCTTTTGATCAGGATTCTTCTATGGAATCTTTGATCAAAATGTTCAGTAATAGCTGGGCACCATCTAGTTCTTCTGTTCTCATGGCTAAGGTGGCAGTTGTTCATGGAGGAAATTAGCCACACATCCCATATCTTCCTCCTTTTCCTGACTCTTCTTTTTCCTCCATTGTTCCAGGTGAATAGAGACCAGTTGTGTGCCTCAGATGGTCGATTGCAAGCTTTTTTTTAAAAAAAAAAAAACGTGATTTGGGTGAAAGTTTACAAAGCAAATTTACTTTCCATATAGCAGCTCACATATACTTTGTCTCATGACATTGACTGCAATTTCCCACAATCCACCAGCTCCCCTCCCACTTGCTCCCCATAGTTATCTCTTCCTTGTGTCCTTCCCTCCCATGTACTCCTGCCCCACAAGCTGTCTTGTTATACATACACATCCCTTCTGTTCTCCCATGATTGATCTCTCCAAGGAGTGTATCTCCCTGATGCAAATGTTCAGCCACAGGAATGAGTTCAATTCAGACCTGAAGGACAGCTAGGGGGCCATGGTCTCAGTGGTTCCATCAGGCTCTGTCAGACCAGCAAACCTGGTCTTTTTTTTATGATTTTGAGTTTTGTTCAACATTATTCTCCCACTTTATCTAGGATCTCCTACATAGATCTCCCTCCAAGTGATTGACAGTAGTAGCCAGGCACCATTTAGTTTTTCTGGTCTCATAGTCATATAGGCTGAGGATTGCGTGGTATACTAGTCTCTTGGACTAATTGTTTCCATGCATCTTTGGTTTTCTTCATTCTTCTTTGCTCTGGACAAGGAGAGACCCATCATTGACTGCAAGCTTTTAATATCCTGGACACTATGCAATAAACTAGAAGGTAGAACAGAAGCACTAAATATGTTTTTAGACCAGTTAACTGTTATGTCCTATGAAACCATGACCCTAAACCTCCAAAGCAAGGAACTAAATCCCATGAGATGTTTGGTTGTACATAAGCAGCCTCAGCAGTTACTATTTATTTATTTATGTTTGGTCTCTGTTGTTAAATATATCTATCACACAACTTCTGCCAATTCAACTTTTTACAGGTGTACAGCTTATTGACAAGCAATTACAATAATTGGCTATACAATCCTCTTCTTAATCAATGCAATTATTCTATCACTATTATCCTCCCTATCCCCTCTTCCCTCCTGCCCTTAGTAACTATTAAACTTTGGTTTCTATACATTTGCATTTTCTTGTAAGTGGGGGTCATACAATATTTATCCTTTCACGACTGGCTTATTTCACTCAGCCCAATGTCATCAAGCTCCACCCATATTGCAGCATGTATCAAGACTTCATTTGTCTTACTGGCTAAGTAGTATTTCATTGTATGTATGTTGCACATTTTATTTGGTCATTCATCTGTTGATGTGCATGATGGAATTTTTTTGAAAAGTGAATCTGCATTATGGACTGTACCAGTTTTCATCTAGGGTACCTTAGATTCTTTTTTAGAAGTCATTTGTCAGTTTTTAATGTTCGTTTATTCATTTAATAAATACTTACTAAATACCTACTGTGTGTGCCAAGCTCTTGGCTGGATATGCATTAGTAAATAAAAACTAAAATATGGTAAAGAGGTTAAAATCATGGAATTTTGGAACCAGACTTAGTATGTAATTGATTGACTATGTGATCCAAGGCAAGTTACTTTAATTTCTCTGGCCTCAGTTTCACATCTGTCAAATGGGGATAATTATAGTACCCTCCTCACAGGATTTTTTTTGAGGATTAAATGAATTAATGCAAGTAACACTCTTAAATGCTATATAAATCTTTGCTATTACTACTATTATCATTAAACAGACATGGTCCCTACCATTGTGGAAATTGTAGTCTACTGGGTGGGATGGAAAATTGTTGTTATGTGCCATCGAGTCGGACCTGACCCATAGCAACCCCTCCTTGGGTTGCCTTGGGCACCATGCTACCAGAGCTCCTGGGATGGAAAATTAGTAAATACAAAATAATTATTTATTGTAGTAAGTGTTACAAGGGCAACAGACAGAGTATTGACGTGAAGAATAGTACAATGGGACTTAAGTAGACAGGATAGCCAATAAGGCTTCCCTGAAGAGATTACATTTAAGAGGATCATGCAGGATGAGAAGGAAACTTTTAGACCATCTCCATTATAGAATGCAAGAGCCAAATAATTAAATCCTTTTTCCTAAATGTTAACCATATTTTTCCTCCCCTTTGGAAAGAAAATAATTAGTGGAATTTTTAAAGAATCTTTCAGCTATTTTATTGTGTTGGATCCAGATACTAAAATGTTATCCCAATTTCCTATATTTGTGATGACTTAATTATCCTAGGAGAAGCAGATTTCAGTCTCTCTCTTTTAATCTTCTTTAGCATGGTTGATACCTGATAGGAAGGAGTTAACTGGCAGTGTTCTGGTTACCTAGTATTCCTCTGACAGGAATATACCACAAATGAGATGGCTTGAATAAACAGAAGTTTATTCTCTTACAGTTTGGGAGGCTAGAAGTCCGAGTTCAAAGTGCCAGGCTCTAGGGGCTGGGTGAAAGCCCCTTGACCTTGGGCTTCAGCTCTGCCTCTTGCTCTTGCCCACTGAAGCTGGAGTCATCTCTTCACTCAGGCAGCTGCTGGCTGCTGAGGCTAACAAGCCCAAGGTTAACAAATAAAATGGCACAGTCCTGATGTTACCAAACCACATGGCAGGCCATTAATTCAAGTCCATTGGAAGTTCCAAGGTCGGCAGAGCATGGCAGGCTTCTGAACAATGACATGGCTACATGCAGGGTTCAAGTGTGCCATATGCTAGAGACCATTCCCAAAGCTGCTGCATATATATGGGAAGCAGCCCACATCCCCAAAGCAGGTACTCAGCTTTTTGTGGTAGGTCCCACCATGGAGTTGATTGCCAGTTTCATCATGAGGAATGAATCACCAGCTGCTCAACCACTCAACCAGGCCCAGCCAAGTTGACACACAAACTTAACTACCACAGGCAGTTACAGTTTTTGGCCTATTACATATGTTGCTTTATGCTCTAAAACTTGTCCCCAGCCACTCTTCTTAGCCATCTATAAATTTTACAATATGTGACAAATCATATTCCATTTTGCAATTCATATCTGCCTTCTAAAATTGATTAGCATGGGGCAGAGATTTTCAAGCTTTGGAAGGTTTTAATAACATTATTCAATGGCATAGTGAGGAAGAATATATAATGCTGAGAGCAATAGATTGGTGTCCTCTGGTTTACCTGAAACCTTTATTTATAGCTTTGAAAGATAAAATTGTTTCTGAGGAATTTTAAGAATAGCAGTCTGCAGTTTTTTGTTGTTGTTTTAGAGGTGTGGAGTGGGGTGGGAGTCATATGATCCTTTACAGAAAAATGTGTATTTAATTTTAATACCACATTTTTATATTTGTTTTAACAATTTTTCTTCAGTTGGTGTTTTTAATGGTAGCATTATTATAAGTAAAAGAGTATACAGCATGTTATATAATGAAATGACTTAATTATTAACTTGATGATGTCATGGATATGTAGCCTGCACAGGAGGAAAACAGAGAAGATCCAGATTTTGAGACTAAGGAAGAAGGAGGACTTGAAGAGTGCTCCACCATAGAAGTAAAAGAAGAAAGTCCTGAATCACAAGCAGAAAGTGCATTGAAAACTTCCCAGAAATCAATCAGAAGACACAGAAACATGCACTGCAAGGTTTCTTTGTTGGATGACACAGTTTATGAATGTGTTGTGGAGGTGAGTGGATTTTAGCTTTCAGTACCCAGAACTCTTTTTTTAAAATTGTGATTTTGGTGAAAGTGTACTGATCAAATTGCTTTTCCATTCAACAGTTCATTCACATTCTATTTTGACACATTCATTGCAATCCCCACAATGTAACAATACTCTTCCTACTTTTCCCAGTGTTGACCATTTTCATCCTTCTATTCCTTCCTGCCTTCTGAGCTTTATCCCTGGGCAAGTGCTTTTTGATCTCAGTTCTAATAAATGTATACCTCCCTGGTATTATTGTTCACCTTATAGACATGTCTGTTGTTTGCCTGAAAGTTGAGCCATGGGGGTGAGTTCAGTTCCAGGCTTGAAAGGTGTCTAAGGGTCATGGACTTGGAGGTTCCACCAGTCTCTATCAGACCGGTCAGCTTGGTCTTTTTTATGATCTTGAGTTTTATTCCACAATTTCCTCCCATTCTATCTGGGACCTCTTATTGTTATCCCTTTCAGAACAGTCAGCAGTGGTAGCTGGGCACCTTCTAGTTCTGATCTCAAGATCATGGAGACTGGGGTTCACATGGTCCATTAGTCTTTTGGACTAATTGTTTCCTTGCATCTTTGTCAGTCTTCTTTGCTCCAGATGGGGAGAGACCAGTAGTTCACCTTAGATGGCCACTCTGAAGCTTTTAAGACCCTAGTCACTACTCGCCAAAGTAGGATGCAGAACATTGTCTTTATGGACTATGTTGTGCCAGTTAGTTGACTTTAGTATCTCCCAGGACCATGGTGCTGAGACCCCAGACCCAGTCACTCATTCCCTAGTTATTACTAGGAAGTTTTCATAACTTTATCCCCTATGTGCTTTTCTACATTCATGGATATATTTGCAGCACACATAAATAAATAGGTAGAGATATCATCCTCTGTCAAACCTCTATATATTTGTGGGTGTAGTCCATTCACCTTCCCACCTCTGTTCAGCTTGACTGTCTGTGTATCTACTCATAGATTATTGTTACTATGTTATTGCAGGAATGTATATGTATTAATATTATTCACCTTTTTGCCTTTAACTCTTATGCTCCCTCCCTGTGTCTCCCAGTGCCTTCATAATTTTGTGCTTGCCTCCCTTTTATTGTATAACTCAAAAACTCACTGCCATTGAGTTGTTTCAGACTCACAGTGATCCCCATTGGGTTTCCAAGGCTGTAAATCTTTACAGAAGTAGATAGCCTAGTCTTTCTTCTACGGAGCAGCTGGTGGAAGTTTGAACCACTGATCTTCCAGTTAACAGTCAAGTGCCTTATCCACTATGTCACCCGAGCTCCTTATTGTATATTGCCTTTCTTTTTACCCAAGTTAATATGTGTTTGCTCTGTAGTTAGTGATTCACCTTCCCTTCTCCTCCCACCCCTGGTAACCTTCAAAGGATGATTCTTTCTGGGTGTAAACCTTTCCTTAACTTCTTACAGTAGTGATCTCATATACACTATTTGTCCTTATGTGATTGATTAATTCCAGTAAGCATAATGTTCTCTAGGATCATCCATGTTCTGAGGTGTTCTGCAGATTCATTTTTATTCTTTAATGTTGTGTGGTATTCCATTGTTTGTATGTACCATAGTTTGTTTATCCATTCATCTGTTGATGGGCACTTAGGTTGTTTCCGTCTTTTTACTATTATGCATAATACTGTGATGAACAAAAAAACAAACCAAAATCACTGCTGTGGAGTCGGATCCAACTCATAGCGACCCCTCCTTGGGTTTCCAAAGCAGTATCACTAGGGAAGTACATTGTCCAACGTTCTTCCTTCCAAGGAGTGGCTGGTGGGTTTGAACCACCAGCCTTCTGGTTAGCAGTCAAATGCCTTAGGCACT